CTTATTTACTTCCCGCACAAAACATAATTATACAACACTGTGTCCATTTCAAGACCATTCTGATGTGCCATTTAAAAATTATGTGAATCAACTTACATACTCAGGAAATCTAAAAGCATGATATTCAAATTCTATTATCAAATGCCCTATTTGTTTCTATGATAATGAAACAGAAATGCAGTCCTCAAAGTTGTGTATAATCACATAAAATCGCTATTACTATTTGTCTTACTGGAAATAATTACATATAAGCATAGCAATGCACTTTAAATAATTAAATACTAGTGGATAGTTACTAGTTTCTACATCAGATGTTTATTACTTCGGATATCTTCTAAATTAAAATAATTCCAATTTAAACAACCTAAGAAAATGTATCCAAAATTCACATACTGATTAAATAAAAAGATCATGAAAATGTAGCTAATTTGCTTGCTTACTGTAATACAAAATCAACAGAAATAACCAAAACTATATATGTGCATATTTAATAGATTTCCAGTATCATTTTTAAAGAAAATAAAAATTACCTTTTAGTGCTATAACATCATAATACAAGATGCTGTGTTTCCTTAGCTTTGCAGTTCAAAAAGATTTTTAATACTTCATTTTTTCTTCTGGCGAAATGCACTTCACTATTCTATCTTTGCTTTCATTCTATTAGCAAAAACCAGATTCTCAAATGCTAGTGCTAATAAATAGAAGATTTGAAAATAGTTGCTGCTTTCTCTCTTAGCTAAGGGCAAGAAATGATTTATGATGGATAAAAGCCAGGATTTCATTTACTCTACTACCTCAGGTGGTGAAACAAGAACTTGTACATCTGTGAAGAAAAAAAGATCTTATTTGCATGGTCAAAATACTGAAGCCATGGAAAGTCACGGAAAGAAGCTTCCTGTGGGCTTAAGAAAGAAGCAAATGAAGATTTTTCTCTTTCTTTATAGTTAAAACAAGTGTCTGACATATAAAAATAAGGTGAGACAAAAAGTTCCCGCTTCATTTTTTCCCCTAATACTAGGAAAGTCAGGAAACAATTTTTACAAAGATTAGAGGAGTACCACTCTCTGTATTAAAATACAATGTCCACAAGAAGCTGAAAGTTTTATATGATCTTTACAATAAGATGTTCAAAATGTTTTGTACTATATTAAGGATAGTAAATAAATTTGAGCCTGATTATCCTATCAATTTGTAAGGAATCTCATAATCAGCATTTAAATTAGTGGCCTTTGTGATACAAATTTTGAAGTTCTTTAAGGACCAAATGTTAGACACCCATCAGTCTTGACAATTGTCTTATTATTGTGTGTTATTTTACTTCATGTGCCTCTGGCAAATTTTTCTTGTAAGTCCACTCCAAGTTGTGCTTGGGGATGTGGACCAGACTGTTCAGTGTTCAACCAGGCAGTGCTTAAGAGTCACCAGTACACCAAGCAATGCTAGGACAGGAATGCCAGGGATTGAACTCAGGGTTCTGCTCATGGGAGACATCTGTTCTATTATTTGAACTTTTACCCCTACTCCTATATATGTAAGAATCAGAAGAATAAAAATCCGAATTGAGAAAAAAATTAAAAATAAAGTGTTACACAATAAACTCGTATAAGTGAATAAGACTAAGACAGTTCATAAAGGAAGAAATATATATAGATCATAAGAATTTGAAAAAAGTTCAACCTTAGTAATATTTAAAGTATACTGAAATAACATTAACAAAATTTAGCAAACTAAGTCTTTTAAAATGGAACTACTAAACACCCTCATGCTTATAACCTAATGTTACAAGCTGGGAAATACTCTTATATTGTATATTCTAAAAATTAAATTTAGATCTATGCATAAATGTTTATATTTCAAATTATAAAAAATATTATTCTATGACTTCTCTCCTAACTAGCACAAGTTAAATATTACTTATCCTGTAAATACCATGATATATGGCAAATTAAAGGTACAAATAACAGAAAATATTCAAAAAGTTAAATAAAGTAAAAGCAAAACATTAAATTACACTGGGATTATAGTGATTACTAAAAGGTAAATATTTTTAAAACTAAAAGAAAAACTGCCGAAATGGTTATACTTTGGATGGGAGGATTAAGTAATGATCTTTGATGATTAAAGTGTTTTCTATAACACAAAAGTATTATAGTTAAATTCAAAAAATAACCTTAATTATTCTTAAGAATGGAAACTTTCTCTTAAGGAAAAACAAAGCCTTTAATTAAGATATTATAGAGATTACACTAAGTTTACTTTGAATAAATTTTTGCTTCCTTAGCATTTACTTCCTAGATAGGCCAGAGACAATTGTGAATCAGCAACGTGTGATAAACCCATGCAGCAAATGCACAAGTAAGAAGCCAGGTGCAACGTGCATGCCTGGCCTGTGGAAAGCCTGAGTTTGACAGTGGTGCCTTCCCCAGAGTTGTCCTGATGGTGTCTGAGCCCCTGAGCCATCAGGAAACTGAGGGTAATTTAACCCAACTAGAATGAGCATTATGACCAAACATCAGAAATGTTTGGTAACCTATACAATACTACGTTTTAAAATAATTTTGTAACTAGGGTTAAACCTTTCTAATCTCCATTTCTGTTACTAGACTCTCGCATCAAAACACTTTCTGAATTTCAAGTAAGCTTTTATAAGCAAGAAATGGTGCCCGAATGATGCTCTCACCCCTAAACATTTATATTACATTATGTAGGTAGTTTGCCTTATTAAACATAAAATATATCTGTAAAAGTGAAAGTTAAAAAGGCAAGAAGGCATTAAGTCTCCCCATGGGAATGCCCTAGGTGAATTTTCTTGCAGCCCTGAGTTATAAACTATCATAATTTAGTAATGAAACTGATGGATTTTAATTAAACCCTTCTGCAGTCCTTAGTAACTTAGATATAGGAGAGTCAGAGTGTTTAGGTGGATGAAAATATAACTATGATTCATTCAGTCCTTTTACATTTAAGTTATGAGATTTTTTATTGCAGGAGAAAAGTATGTATATCTGCGTAAGACTAAGTATTTTCAATTTCTATATTTAAGATTCCCCCCAAGAAACTGTTGACAAAGAAAATTTCAAAGTATACAAAAATAGGGACATACTCTGGCCTCAAAGTACTCATAATTACTAATTAATAATAATGACTATTAGAAATAATATTTATTATTATTATTAATAATAATGTAATAATAGCCATTAGAAAATCATGTGGCGCCCATAACCATGCCACTGGACTCCATGTCAGACTGTTTCAGATGGGGAACCCCAGAGGGGGATGGAGAGACCCCTCCCCGCCACAATGGACCCAGCTCCTGCAGCGAAAAATCTCCACAACCCAATCACTGCCATGCTTAAGGCTGCTTTCTACAAGCTCTGGCCGAGCCTCACATATGAGTGAACAAATTCCTGGACCTCACAACATATCATAAGACACTCCCTACCCATTCTCCATAAATACCACATTGCATTTGATGGGGGTTCAGATAGTAGGCAACAAATGATAGAGGGAAATATCTATCTATCTATCTATCTATCTATGTGCTCATATACATGTTTTCTTATATATATGTATCTATCTATATCTAAATATATATGTAGATATACCAAAGCTCACATCACCCAAACTTTAACAACATGTTAGTGATATCCTATAGAATATCTTAATGGCTCCTGCCAAAACAGAACAATCTTCACACTGTTTCCTATATGAACACCTTTTTGTAAGCATGTTCAGCAGTTCTTCATAACAGACACTATGAAATATATTATTTTGGTTGTGTTTTAGAACAGGGACTGGGGATGGAAACATCCTGAATTTGTTGCTGGGGAGGTGTTGCTGTAGTGGTGGTGAGATGGGTGTTTGAATTTTGTTTTATTTTATTTTTGCTTTTTCGGCCACGCTTAGCGATGCACAGGAGTTACTCCTGACTCTGCACTCAGGAATTATTCCTGGCAGTGCTCGGGGAACCATATGGGATGCTGGGAATTGAACCCGGGTCGGCCATGCGCAAGGCAAACGCCCTACCCCCTGTGCTACCACTCCAGCCCCTGAATTTTATTTTTATTTTTTATTTATTTTTAATGTAATCCCCCTCTCGGAGAGCCCGGCAAGCTACCGAGAGTATCTCGCCCACATGGCAGAGCCTGGCAAGCTCCCCATGACGTATTCGATATGCCAGACACAGTAACAACAAAGTCTCCAATGGAGACGTTACTGGGCCCGCTCGAGCAAATCGACGATCAACGGGAGGGCCTTTACCTTTACCTTTACCTTTTAATGTAATTTAATTTTTTTGCTTTTTGGGTCACACCCGGTGATGCACAGGGGTAATTCCTGGCTCTGCACTCAGGAATTACCCCTGGCGCTGCTCAGGGGACCATATGAGATGCTGGGAGTCGACCTGGGTCAGTAGCATGCAAAGCAAATGCCCTACCCACTGTGCTATTGCTCCAGCTCCGGGTGTTTGGATTTTAAATGTAATCAAATTTTGTGAACTAACTTAAAAAAAAGGTCACAGTTTTCAGACTGTTTTTTATCCACATTTGCTTGGATTGTGTGTTCCTTTTATTGCAAATGGTTAATATCTGTTTTAATCAAAAAGTGGCTCTGTTATCACCTTCATTAGCTGCTGCAAGAGCACACCAGAGGATCAAAACACTCAAGTCCAAAACAACAGGAAACACACTTTTCGCAGGGTCAGAGTGATAATATAGTGGGTAGGGTGCATGCTTGCATGCAGTTGACCCCAGATAGATCCCTGGTATCTCCTATGATCCTCAGAGTCTGCCAGGAATGATCTTGAATGCAGAGCCAGGGCTTAGCCCTTATACTCCACTAAGTGTGATACCCCAAAACCACCCCACAGAAAAGAAAAAACACTACTTGCTAATAGGTAAGACTGTAGCAAAAGAATTCCTTAAGAGTTCTTTTCCATAGAGCAAGTAGACAACATAAAACTTAAGCATGCATAGTATAAATAGCAAATCTGATGTACTCACCAGTCTTCACTTCTAATAAGAGCTTTTTCTTTTGTTGGCGTTCAATTCTTTCTTTTTCTGCCAATTCTTTTGCTATTCTGGCACGTTTTTCTCTCTCCTCCGCTTCTCTTTTTCTGACATTCTCCTTTACTGCTTGCTATTACAAATAAATTTGGAAAAATAATCATTTTTAATCACAGTGATTCCACTAATAAATTACAAATATTATTAGGACAATTGTGATTAATAAATCTTGTAAGGTTATTTCTCATATTAGTAGTACAGTCTTTTAAAAGATAGCTTATGAACCCTTGTTAAATATGTAACTATAAATAAAACTGTTATGTTTAAAGCACCTGCATCCTAATGGAATCAGCTAAGGGAAACAAACTAAAAATAAAAACCATCTAACTTACAAATCATAAAGGTTTAAATGTGTACTTTTTTCCCTTGAAGAAAGTCTGGCATATGTATTGGCATTTTTCATATATACTCTGTTAAGGAAACTAGTAAAGAAAAAATATGTAACAAATGCAAGAGATCTGCAAATATACAATGGTAATTTTATGTTATATTCAGTTATTTCTCTCATTTGAGAAGTGTTATACGATGCTTAAAGAAATACTTGGGGATTTTCAAAGCCAGACTCCCTGTTCATCAAAACCAATAATGACGTGCACATAAAAAAAATCAATAGACATATAATTAGTTAATTTTTTATTTTCTAAGCTTTAGACAAATCAAAAAATGACATGCATGTGGCATTTGTGAAAATTATCAAGTAAACAGGTTTATCAATGTGCCAACCAGTAGCATTACATCATGTATTCTCAGCATCAATGAATCCAAAAGACTACTTAGTTACTGAATTATTAATTGTATTAAACAGAAATGTGTATCAAGTTAAACTATATTAAGTAAGGAATTTGTTCTGGGAAGAGGTTTTAAATTCATCTTTACTGTAGTATCTATTTTTAAACCCAAGAAAAAGTATACCTTCTTCATAATAAAAAAATAAAGTTAATTGTCCAAACCAATGGAAGGAAAATATGATAAAAAAAGGACAAAGAGCAAAGAACAGGGAATATGGACTCACAAATTCATTTATCTATCCATCCCAAATTTATTGAGAGATTAGGTGCAGAATAGCAGTATTCCCATGACATGTATGTGCATGTATGCATTTGTGCATACATTTTAACATATATACATAACAATTTTACATTTATATGAAAAGGTAGTAAAGGTAGCAGAAAGAGAAATAATAAAGTGCTATGAAAAATCAAGTATTATGAAAGAAAGCCTGAAGACTTAACATTACCATTCCATGATTATAAGTGTTATTGACTTGATTAAAGCTGAATATTGAACATCTAGGAACTAGATCTGTGATTATCTAGGCTGTGAAGCTTCTCAAAATGGGTAATACTACCTTCCCCAAGGGGAGTCTGGAATGATTCTTACAGGCAGTAATACCCTTGTCAGCCGGGGGGGAAGAGTTTTATTTTTGTTCTCTTAAAGAAGGAAGATTTTCCAGGTGCAAGTGGGATATGAGCTAGAGGGAGTTTAGTAATTCTTTTTTTTTCCTGAAAATTTCCTGAAATTTGTATAAAATTTGTATTTCAACAAATAAGGTTGAAAACCTCTGACCTAGGGGAATACCAATGCAAACTATTGGTCACTTTTAGAAAGAGAAATGTAGTCAGGACGGTGAATATGTAATAAATATGTCAGGGAGCTATGACCTGATCACTTAGGGCTTTACTATGCCAATATAGAAGTTGGATTTACCATCATGAGAGAAATGCAAAACAAAACAATTGGGAATTTTCAGGTAAGAGAATATAAGACTAAACATTCTAAAAGATATAAATAACACTCACACATTTTTTTGTTGTTGTGCTTTGTTCCAAAATACCCGCTCAGGGATCAGGGCTATAGTATAGCAGGTTGTCTTGCACATGGTTTAAACAGGCTCAATCCCAGGTATCCCCTAGTGTCCCCCAAGTATTACGAGGAGCAATTCCTGAGTGCAGAGCCAGGTGTAACTCCTAAGCATCACCTGGTATGACTCCTAAACCCAGACAAACAAAAATCCCAAATATCCTTTAAAAAAGTTTTGTTTGTTGGCAGGAAGACTTTAAAAAAAATTAAGCAGATTTGTTTGGTGTGTAGTAAACAGAAGCTAAACATGGATCGCTGTCACTGTCCTCCCATTGTTTATCGATTTGCTCTAGCGGGCCCAGTAACATCTCCATTCTGAGACTTGTTGTTATTTGTTTTTGGCATATTGAATACATCATGGGTAGCTTGCCAGGCTTTGCTGTGCGGGTGAGATACTCTTGGTAGCTTGCTGGGCTCTCCGAGAGGAGCAGATAAAAGAATGGATAGTCCTCTTATCAAAAGATTGGGCTTCAGATTTCCCTCCAGTTACAATGTCACTTATATAAGAAGTAACAACATTGGCCTGTGGGAATGTAGACTAAGGAATCTATAAAGTTATTTACTTAACTACTGCTGCTACTAGTATGAGTAATATCCTGTTGAGACAACAGTCTAGTGTATTCTGACAGTATTGTAGATTCTGCCATAAAATTCTAGCAGGCTGACTTGTTAGACTACCTTGCCTGCAGGTAGCATCTCTGATTCATTCTAGTTCAGGATATATAAACATTAACTATTCTTGGCAGAATGTACTGAGCTCGCACCAGGCTGTCTTCACTGGGGCATCTTGGGTTGAGTCTCTCTCCCCACCCAAAGCAGAACCTCGGCAGCTGAAAACCTCCAGAACCCTGCTGCTGCCATGCTCAAGGCACCACATACTCGGATGAACCTCACCTAAGAGGGAACAGGTATGTGGGACCCATGACTGTGATCTCCAAGCCCACTCAGATGGGGACTGGGCTCCTCCTCCCACCTCCCCAGTTTTCCAGGAGCTTGGCAGTCACACCCACAAACTGGCCTGGTGTGATGTAATCTCATCATCAGCCAAGACCCAGAGACTATAAATTAAGGCTCCCAGAAGAGAGCGATGCAGAATGTCCTGGAGTTTGTGGCCACAAATGACCTCTTATACTCTAGCCCACTTACTTACTAAAAGTAGCACACATTTTTTTGGTTTTAACACACTAGTTTGTATTGTTATATTCGAGCTTAAATGTCTCCAGAATGAAATACAACCACCTTTACACACTTCCCTCTTATTGTGGTGGGAAGGTGCTCGGTAGTGGGATAGGTGTTTGAATATTATCTATAATGAACTACTGTGAACTACTTTTATGAAAATAAAATATATAAGAATTGAAAAAACTCAGGATCCTCAGTGAGCTGTATTATGGATTCACTACCAGGATCTCACCATTCTACAAAGAAGTGATCATCCATGTCAAGAGAGAGGTTAGGCAGGGTGATACCATTTCACCAAAACTCTTCAGTGCCACCCTCGAGAACGTCATGAGACGTGTGGAATGGGAAGGAATGGGAGTAAAGATAGATGGTAGGCAATTACACCACTTCTGCTTTGTGATGACGTTGTTCTAACAACACCAAACATTAGCCAAGCTGCACAAATGCTGGCCGACTTCGACCATGAGTGTGCAAAGGTCGGATTACAGCTGAATCTCATGAAGACAATGTTTATGACAAATGATCTCGTTCCTGACATTCCATTCACTCTCAATGGGACAAACATCTCCAAATGCAACAGTTATGTGTACCTAGGTCGAGAAGTCAACATGACAAATGACCAGGCACCTGAGTTGCGCAGGAGGAAGAGAGTGGCTAGGAATGACTTCAAGAGTGTCAAAGATAGCTAAGAGGACAAAGAACCTCCAGCTCTGGGTACATCTCTTCGATTCACTCAAATGAGAGAAAGAATCTGGAGTTCCGACTTTCATCGATGCTCAAGAATCAGGGATGCTGTCTCGTTTGCCAAGGCATCGAAAATCAGATGGGTTGGACACAATGAAATTTGGAGACGACCACTGGACTAGAGCCGTTACTGTCTGGATTCCAAGGGACGTCAAAAGACTGCGTGGCCACCCACCTACAAGGTGGTCAGACTTCTTCGTCAAGACCCTGAATGATCCGTTTGAGGCTCTTCATGTTCCTAGAACAAACTGACGCCATTGGGCTACACTAGCATGCGACAGGGACAAATGGAGATGCTACTGGCACCCACTCGAGCAAATTGATGATTAACGGGAAGTCAAGTGATCAAGTGATCAAGTGAAAAAAATAAACATTAACTATTCTTGCTAAGATATGAAATACAAGCTGTGATCAAAGAAGTTTTTGCATGCAATCTCTCCAATCCTCAAAATGGATTCATATTTTCTGCCTAAAATTTGTTAAGTACTTGTTTTTCTAAATGACTATAAGAAGAAATAAAGAAAAATAGTCTAAAATCTAGCTACATTAAGAGCCACCTCTAAGACAATAGCTGATATAAGATTCAGGGTAAATTAGAATGGTCAAGGATGGCAGTTAATAAAACTGAAAAATAAGCAGTTTCAAAAACAAGTGCATACTGTGTGCATATGTACGCACATATGAATATACGAGAGATGAGATAGAAAGAGTGTACTATCTGTTAGGGAAAATAATAAGCAAATATTTTGAAAATACAAACTATTTCTTGTTTCAGGGAAATGAATTAGTGAAACCTATAATAAATATACATAGGAGTTGATTTATGAAACATTATTGTCACTGTCACTGTCCTTGTCCTCCCGTTGTTCAACAATTTGCTTGAGCAGGCCCAGTAACGTTTCCATCGTGACACTTGTTACTGTGTTTGGCATATTGAATACATCATGGGTGGCTTGCCAGGCTTTGCCGTGTGGGCGAAATACTCTTGGTAGCTTGCCAGGGTCTCCAAGAGGGGCAGAGGAATTGAACTCAGGTTGGCCATATTGGCCGCTTGCAAGGCAAATGCCCTACCTGCTATGCTATTGCTCCAGCCCATGAAATATCATTAAAGTATAAAATTTTCTGATGTGAATTTTCCTCTGTAGTGATTGCATCTCAATGAGAACATTTAATAGGCTACCTTTTATTATATAAAAATTGTCACATCTTTTTAGTATTTCATTGGGTACTATAAAGGCCAAAAATATTTCCTTGGACCTATAAAATAGTGTTTACATTTAAAAACAA